CCTTACACGTTTTGTTCAGCAGGATGATCTCCTCATTTGTGAAGCGTAAAATGCAATCGCCAGAAGTAAAAGAATGTAAACCAAACAACATCACGGTCACATGACTTCATGTCACCACCGCTAAGCTAAAGGCGGCTAATGTTCGGTATGATGACGATAAGTAGTCTAATTTAGCCACTGTTGGCAACCACGGTTTTTAGAAGTTTCAGACATTAACTAGTGGGATATTTACTGACATGTTTTATGGTGTGTATTAAACTGTCAAAATATGTTTAGCTTGTGTTAACTGCAAACCTACCTTATACATTCCTGCACCACTCTATTATAGCTAGATGAAAAAAAAGTGCATCCAAATATTATCAGGTACTCGGCCTCTTTCTCACTATGTTATTCAAGCTTATTTTTTTAACCCCTAATAAACGTATATAATGTAATAATACCACTTGTGTGACAGTCCTTGAAACAGCACCACCTGCGGCCCCACGGTATAATATGTGACATTTCTGCATTAAAATGTCTAAAAACAACTCGACCTGTGTCCTATATTCTGTTGAGTTGTGTACTTACATTATTCCAAATGTTTTCCAAAATGTTCAAATCTAGAGAATTCTGTCATTTTATTCTAGGCAACACAGGCGTGTGACAATAAGACCATTCTTATATTATACAAGTATACTGATAATCATCACCATAAGCTGAAAACTCTTGACATCTTAACTTTACCTTTTGGTCCAATAACAATAATGTAATTATTCCATCACAGAATTTATGTTTAAATAATTATCCTTTTCAGTAAAAAGAAAGAAAATAAGTTCCCTCTGCATAAAAAGAGGATAGAAAATAATGTATACATATTTTTACATTTGTTTTTTTTGTTCCCTTTCATTACCATGATAGGTAACTGAACAGCTAGGCATACTCACGTTTATCACAATATTGGAAATTCCCCAATATCAGCTGGGTTTTCAAACATGATCTGTAATACAAGTGTATATTGTGCCATCATAGGGTAACGGTGCGTTTCATTTAATCGCCATGATATCCTCTTTACCTGTTGTGTTTGCACTTCTCTTCCAGTAAAACAGCCTTCGTGCTCCCGCTTTTAAAGAAACAAAAAGAGAATCTCAAGGTCATAAAAACAGAAACTGTCGGAGCGCTGCTGGTCACTGAGCCGCTGAGACGGAGCCCGGAGCATTCCAGCAATGGGGATGAGTTCACTGATCCAGGATGGGTGAATACAACATGTTTACTGAAGTACAGCGTGAGGGCAGAGTGTTTTGAACTGTTGTCACCACGGCGACGTTTACAGGTGAGATAATGTCAGGGATTATTTGCACCAGTGAACAAGACTTGTTCCACCGACTGTGTTTACCTCACACACAGGTATGACTCATTGTAGTCTGATTCTGCTTTCAGAATAAGAATCAGAATTCCTTTATTCGTCCCAAAGAGGGGACATTGTCACAGCAGTCGAAAAATAAAAATAACACACTGTTCTATAAAAATGCATGCACATAGTATTTCAAATAAAAATTACAGAAGTACACAATCAGGGAAAATAAGTAAGTAGGCAGTATTTATAAAATAAAATAAGTGTAACATTGTAAAATACTGTGTGGTAGCGGGTTGATTGCAGTGGTAAATAAAAAAACATAATAATAATAATAAATTGTGGTACTGTAATCCCATTCATTTGCATGTGTCCTCCCTGAAAAAAGAAAATCCATTTCTTAAATAAAATAATGTTTTTCATGTATTTCACATGCAACAGTGAGTATGGTGCATTTCTCTAAACACTCACTAATGTGTGTAGAAAACATTTTGCTACCCTTGTCATCTCAAAGTTTCTATATAAAGCTGTGAATAATCAGTCATATAGACAGATGTCTGACTGTCTGTGAAGCACAGGAAATGAGCTGTGGATCTCTGAGATGTTTGAAAACTGTTTCTTTCTTTCTGGTGTCAGCAGAGCCTGGTTTGATTAATGCTTACAGCTTATTCTCCTTGCACTCGAATCTGAATTATTAAAGGTTTATGTTTAAACAAGATTGTACTGCCATGCTCTTGGCTGTGTGAGTTAGCTAAATGCTAACATGCTAATGCTTCATCTCCAGGACATGCATCACCCTGTCACGGTTTTACCCCTCTTAGTCCACAGCTTTTGACTAATTAAATCAATCAATTTGACACAAAATATTGATTTAACAGACTGTAGAATTACACTATTGACAAATAAGAATGATGTTTTCAACAAAGCTGTGCAATAAGCAGGTTTAATGGTTATTAATGCTAACATTAGCCTAACAGCCCAAACACAAAGTAGCCTACAGCTGAGGCTCATCTGAATGCAGTAGTTCAGTACTAAATAGTAGTATTAGTAATTTGTTACTAAAACAATCTGCAGATTGAAATGTTGACCTGATGGTGGCGCTAAATGAAAAGGATCAAAGCTAAAGTTTTGTAATTTGAAAAATGTCCTGCCAAAAGGAAAAGTTCAGCTCAAAGTGAGAACAGACAATCCAGTCGGGCTCCAGAGAGGGCCTGTTACACTTTACCTGGAATGGGAGGGGTGAACAGAGGGGTATTCAGTTGGTTGCGAACTGTAATCTCACCACTGGATGCCACTAAATCCTACATACTGGACTTTTAAGTCATTAGGGCCCCCAAAGGCGTCCTAGCACGAAGTGCGAGTAACCTATTGTTATCCAAGGAATTATTATTATTCTGCTCCGGAGAATGTACTATTTTTGACGATTTACATGTCACAAATTACTCCAAACTACTCGCATTGTAGTTTTTCCGATATTCACGAAACGCTGTATACACATTGCTCTTATGATTGCGGACATATTTCAAATTGGCTTCCATTAGCCCTGCCCCCCAGGAAGTCGGCCATTTCGAAAAATGTGCGGTTTTCATGCATTTTAAGCACATATTTGCGAAATCATTGGAAAAATTCCAATCCAGGACAAGTTCAGCCCATATCCAATGTGATGCTAAATTGCAAAGGAATAGTCAATCGCTCGAACGGGGAGCTCGTAGGCTAAAAATACAATTTTTGACCATTATATGTCAGATAAGCTATTGAGACCTACCTGTCTGCTTTGTGCATCAACTCACACACACACACACACACACACACACACACACACACACACACACACACACACACACACACACACACACACACACACACACACACACACACACACACACACAAAAAGGATGTATCTAGCAAGAAAATATCTCCATGGAGAAAAACCATGTCCGTGAGAACAGCAAAAACTGAGTGCAGAAAAGCTGAACGCAGGTGGAGAAAAACAAATCTTCAAGTTCACTTGCAAATATATAAAGAGAGACTCTGCTTCTATAATCAGGAAATAAAAAAGGCCCGACAATCTTTCTTCTCTGACATCATTACCAAAAATAAAAACAACGCACGTGCCTTGTTTGCTACCGTCGACAGATTAACTAACCCCCCAGTGTCAGTAGCCTCACAATTTCTATCCACCAGGGCCTGCAATGAATTTGCCTCCTTCTTCACTGACAAAATCATGAAAATTAGACAAGCAGTCAGTGCCTCTGTATCAGGTACAGCAAATGTGTTGTCCCTGTGTCCACCTAAAGTCAATTCAGACACCATGACACAATTCCGTCTGATAAATACTAAAGACCTGGAACACATTATTCAACATCTGAAATCCTCCTCCTGTAGCCTCATTATTATTCTGACAGGATTTTTCAAAAATGTTTTTCATTGCTTGGCCTCAGATCTACTTCATAGTAAACAAGTCTTTCCACTCGGGTGTATTTCCACAGGCCCTGAAAACTGCAGTAATTAAACCGCTCCTAAAAAAGCATAACCTAGACGCAACCGTAATGAATAATTACAGGCCAACAACTGCGCACGACTGTGACCGCAGTTTTAATTTATTATTGTTGTACAGATTTTAACAACTTGAAGTTTTACATTGTATTGTTTTCTTTCATCAAATGAACCCATGTAGTCCATAAAACGGTAGCCGGGTTTATCTGAGCGTATTGTTCACGGGGACTGTTTGCAAAAAACAAATGAGAAGAGGTTTACCAACAAAAATGATTGTGTTATTCCTGTTATTCTTTATAATTCTTCCGTGACATAATGATACGAAACTCTAGTGACAATTAGCCCCCTTGGAGAGAGGGGAGTTCATCCCGAAGCTGATGTATTCACACCTAGATATCATGAAGCCTTGTTACAGTAAGAGAAAAACTAAATGGTACTTATTAAATATTAAGGAACTGAGTGTACTAGAAATAGGTGGCCCTTTCAGAGGGTTTTAATAGATTCACACATCCAAATGATTGGATTTCACAATAATGTAATCATATTATTGAAATTTGGACACGTCCAGTGGATTTATAGGCCCCAAAAAATAGGGTGAGAGTGAGACAAAAAAATGACTTTAGGATTATTAGGAAATTATTAAGGAGTTAGGGTATTCTAAGGAATTGTTGGCCACATTTGACGCCATCTTGAAAATTACACATTTCTAGTGGTCAGATCTTGGTAGACTTTTTAGTTTTTAAGGACACTTAATACTACACAAAACTGTGTAGGAACTTTTTGTTGCAATTATTCTGGGGCTATGTGGTTTTTCACATATGCAGCCGCCTAACCCTCCACCTCCAGGATGGAGTGAGGCTGAGACTACAGACGGAGTTCACTCTGTGACTAAGTGGGGGGGGGGGGGGGGGGGGAACGGCTGGATTGGAATTGGGACTGGATATTACTTTGTAATCTCTTGAGATCAAAAACACTTCAAGTGAGGGGGGGGGGGGGCATGTTGTTGTTTTTTTGTTTTCTTTCTTTTTAGATGCGCGCTGCATTTGGTGCTGATGCTGCGCGCGCCTGAGCCAGAAACAGCTCCTCTGGAGGCTGAAGACCAATCAGAGCGCGCATCAGACTTTCCCATCCCGTCTCCCCCCCACAGCAGCCGGTGCACTGGTTTCTCCGTCCTCCGACCCGCACTCTCTCCTCCTGCCCCTGACAGGAAGATGGTACCGTGCACAGAGCTTCCTGCACGTGAACCGAAGGCGTCACTCACCGACTCGCTGCGGGACTTTTGAACTCACCATGCCGTGCTACGCTAGGATTCTCTTCATAGTTTTGTGTCTGATCCTGCTCGGGGAGTGCAGGAAACACCGGAGTCGGAAAAAGCGCTGGTCCGCGCCGGCAGAGAGTCACAAGCCCGGCACGTGAGTACTGAAACATTCTTTATTTTACTCTTTAACTTAAATGTGCCCGTCAGGAACAGCATAGGGCAAAGCGAGGTGAATCACTTCTGATTCCACCCGAGATGTCACATTTACGCACGACTCGGTGCCATGGACCAATCAGCACAGCTTGAGAGCACAGAGAAGGGGACAGTTCAGATTCAGATGATGCAGCAGCTTTGTGGATTTTCCCTTCACTTAGTTTCCATCCAGAATGTCAACATTTGTGAGCATGGCCAGGAGCGGTTCCTGTTCCTTTTTCAGCCGAAATCCCTCCTCAGTGAGGTTGTTGGAAACAGCTTTATCTATGCTTTTCAAAACGAAAACATATAAGTGGGAATAAATCAAACGGTGCCTAAAATCAGCCCTCCACTGAGCCGGTTCACAATCACGACAGCAAATACCACCCTTCCCTCAGATAAGTAAGTTATTTCAGGTTAATTCTTTATTAGGCCTGCCTTCAGGGACTCTGAACACAGAGACTGAGGAGTGGAGGGATATTCTCTTTGAGCCTGTTGTGTGGCTGCGATTTTCCCCGACTGTCACACTTCTGTCATTTCAAATAGGATCAAACATCCCTCAGCAGCAGCCAGATTTATTCTGATGTAGCATGAATTCATAATACCAGCAAAACTTGGATTTTAAAGTATTTGGCTATTTTACCACCTGCATTGCTTTATTCCATTTTTTAAATGGGTCCTGGTTAATCTATTATTTTCTCCAAATATCGGTCTCTACTCAATGTCGTTGGTCTTTGACTTTCCCAGAACCCAAATGGACCTCTTCAAATTGGATTTATTTTTCAGCCAACAGTCCAAAACTCTAATATATTTCATCTACTGTCATCAAATACTCAGAATAAGAGCTAAATCAGTGTTGAGAAGCTAGAACCAGATTATTTTTGGGCCGTTTTGCTTTCTGGTAATTGATTTAACAACCCATTGATTCAGCACAACTTCATACAGTTCAGCACATATTCTGACCCCTTCAGGATCAGCATGTAAATGTTCATTTACAGAACACTACAACCGTATCAATATTTATCTTTCAGGGAGTACAATGCAATAACAGTAACATTTTAATTTTAATTACAGTTCTATTTCAAATAATATCAGTGGGCTTGACATCTGTAAATGAGATAACTTAGTTTGCCCTCACCCTTCCCTCGCTGCTCTCTTGTTAGTATAAACCAGGCTTGGGGAGTAATGGATTACATAATTATGATACAAAAAGAAAAGTAACTGTATTCCCTTACAATTAATAATGTAATCAGATTACTGTTACATTTCTAAAATGGTGGATTACTATCAGTATTACAATGTTACTAAAAACTTAAAAGATCATCTAGTGTTTGTTGTAAAGCATCAGATGTTATCTCTTCTCTGTGCTGTACTGTTCTGTAGGATAATACGTTAAGTGTGAATACGCCTACTGCCTGAATCTGCTTTATGGTGTTCACTTTCTTTGCTTCATTTGTTCTGGTTTTAATTCAGTTGGTGAACATTATATGTTCATAATATAGTGTGTGTGAGCTTAACTGTGTGTATTAAACTGTAGATACATTATGCATTTTCAGCTCAGATTTTATTTCTGCTTTTTTAAACTGTAGTGTGTGCTCATGTGTTTCAGTGTTGGTGTATAGGCTGCTGCCTGAATATGCTGAGTGAAGGGCAGCTTTTCCTATAAATAAAATCTCTGAGCAAAAGACAGATGTTTGATATTAAATATCTTGGTTTCTTCTTTTTCTAAGGTTACATTGTTCTGTTGTCTTACCAAATACACCGCCCCTTAACCCTGGTATAAAGTAGTCTGCTGATGTTCTGTGTGTTTCTTTTTTAAAGGGTTCAAATCCCATGTGCAGACCAAAAGTAAAAATGAATGTCTCTTATAGAAAGCCTGATATCTCCTCGCCTTCTGTGCCAAATTATTAAACACACATCAGTGTTCTTCACTGCGTGTCATATTTGTTTATTACCATGAACACACACACTGTTGATCTTCACTCAATCCCACACACGCCGTCCCTTAATAGAGCACCAAATGTGCATTAATTGGCCCCTGAAAACAGTCCCCAACAATGTCCTCTTGAAATTAGTAACTCTAATGACACTCTCCTCTCTGTCCTCCTGCCTGCTGCCAGTCCTCTGTCCAAGAAAGTTGCTGATGGAACCAAATCCAAAAAGCTGAAGACCAGCCATCTTCTGCGTATTGATGAACATGACTTCACCATGAGGCCGGCCTTCGCAGGTGAGATCTCTGAGCTCCATGAGAGACAAGTTCTCCCTTCAGAACCCTGCAGCTGGGTCAGAGGCTCCACCTCCATGTGCAGTACTGCCTTGGTTATTATGATGGGAGTGAAGCAAGAAGCCAGGTGATGTAATATAAAGAGCAACAGAGTGTGTAGGAGGGTGTGGGCTGTGGGGGGAGGGGGGGTCTAACAAACACTGGACTTTAACCCTTGAGCTCCGATGAAACCAAAAGTAAATGTTATCCTTTCCTTAACTTAAATACCAAAGTTAACCTTTATCACGTATGTCAGGTGTTTATGTCATGTACATAACATATATATATATATATTTAAGCTATATTTAGCTAACACTTATTTCAAAAGCAACTTAAACACACTTTAAAGAGGCCTTAATATGCTTTTTTGTGTTCTATAGGTTTTTGTGCAGGTAAATGGTCTGCAAAGACAACACACTCTCACTCCATAAACGCCCAGGTTGCATACTGATATACACCTGAACATCAGCAGGAGAGGACTCTTTAAAGTAGAGACACTACATACTGATATACACCTGAACATCAGCAGGAGAGGACTCTTTAAAGTAGAGACACTACATACTGATATACACCTGAACATCAGCAGGAGAGGATTCTTTAAAGTAGAGGACACTACATACTGATATACACCTGAACATCAGCAGGAGAGGACTCTTTAAAGTAGAGACACTACATACTGATATACACCTGAACATCAGCAGGAGAGGACTCTTTAAAGTAGAGACACTACATACTGATATACACCTGAACATCAGCAGGAGAGGACTCTTTAAAGTAGAGACACTACATACTGATATACACCTGAACATCAGCAGGAGAGGACTCTTTAAAGTAGAGACACTACATACTGATATACACCTGAACATCAGCAGGAGAGGATTCTTTAAAGTAGAGACACTACATACTGATATACACCTGAACATCAGCAGGAGAGGACTCTTTAAAGTAGAGACACTACATACTGATATACACCTGAACATCAGCAGGAGAGGACTCTTTAAAGTAGAGACACTACATACTGATATACACCTGAACATCAGCAGGAGAGGACTCTTTAAAGTAGAGACACTACATACTGATATACACCTGAACATCAGCAGGAGAGGACTCTTTAAAGTAGAGACACTACATACTGATATACACCTGAACATCAGCAGGAGAGGACTCTTTAAAGTAGAGACACTACATACTGATATACACCTGAACATCAGCAGGAGAGGACTCTTTAAAGTAGAGACACTACATACTGATATACACCTGAACATCAGCAGGAGAGGACTCTTTAAAGTAGAGACACTACATACTGATATACACCTGAACATCAGCAGGAGAGGACTCTTTAAAGTAGAGACACTACATACTGATATACACCTGAACATCAGCAGGAGAGGACTCTTTAAAGTAGAGACACTACATACTGATATACACCTGAACATCAGCAGGAGAGGACTCTTTAAAGTAGAGACACTACATACTGATATACACCTGAACATCAGCAGGAGAGGACTCTTTAAAGTAGAGACACTACATACTGATATACACCTGAACATCAGCAGGAGAGGACTCTTTAAAGTAGAGACACTACATACTGATATACACCTGAACATCAGCAGGAGAGGACTCTTTAAAGTAGAGACACTACAATACTGATATACACCTGAACATCAGCAGGAGAGGACTCTTTAAAGTAGAGACACTACATACTGATATACACCTGAACATCAGCAGGAGAGGACTCTTTAAAGTAGAGACACTACATACTGATATACACCTGAACATCAGCAGGAGAGGACTCTTTAAAGTAGAGACACTACATACTGATATACACCTGAACATCAGCAGGAGAGGACTCTTTAAAGTAGAGACACTACATACTGATATACACCTGAACATCAGCAGGAGAGGACTCTTTAAAGTAGAGACACTACATACTGATATACACCTGAACATCAGCAGGAGAGGACTCTTTAAAGTAGAGACACTACATACTGATATACACCTGAACATCAGCAGGAGAGGACTCTTTAAAGTAGAGACACTACATACTGATATACACCTGAACATCAGCAGGAGAGGACTCTTTAAAGTAGAGACACTACATACTGATATACACCTGAACATCAGCAGGAGAGGACTCTTTAAAGTAGAGACACTACATACTGATATACACCTGAACATCAGCAGGAGAGGACTCTTTAAAGTAGAGACACTACATACTGATATACACCTGAACATCAGCAGGAGAGGACTCTTTAAAGTAGAGACACTACATACTGATATACACCTGAACATCAGCAGGAGAGGACTCTTTAAAGTAGAGACACTACATACTGATATACACCTGAACATCAGCAGGAGAGGACTCTTTAAAGTAGAGACACTACATACTGATATACACCTGAACATCAGCAGGAGAGGACTCTTTAAAGTAGAGACACTACATACTGATATACACCTGAACATCAGCAGGAGAGGACTCTTTAAAGTAGAGACACTACATACTGATATACACCTGAACATCAGCAGGAGAGGACTCTTTAAAGTAGAGACACTACATACTGATATACACCTGAACATCAGCAGGAGAGGACTCTTTAAAGTAGAGACACTACATACTGATATACACCTGAACATCAGCAGGAGAGGACTCTTTAAAGTAGAGACACTACATACTGATATACACCTGAACATCAGCAGGAGAGGACTCTTTAAAGTAGAGACACTACATACTGATATACACCTGAACATCAGCAGGAGAGGACTCTTTAAAGTAGAGACACTACATACTGATATACACCTGAACATCAGCAGGAGAGGACTCTTTAAAGTAGAGACACTACATACTGATATACACCTGAACATCAGCAGGAGAGGACTCTTTAAAGTAGAGACACTACATACTGATATACACCTGAACATCAGCAGGAGAGGACTCTTTAAAGTAGAGACACTACATACTGATATACACCTGAACATCAGCAGAAGAGGACTCTTTAAAGTAGAGACACTACATACTGATATACACCTGAACATCAGCAGGAGAGGACTCTTTAAAGTAGAGACACTACATACTGATATACACCTGAACATCAGCAGGAGAGGACTCTTTAAAGTAGAGACACTACATACTGATATACACCTGAACATCAGCAGGAGAGGACTCTTTAAAGTAGAGACACTACATACTGATATACACCTGAACATCAGCAGGATGTGTCCTCTTTAATACCGTGGGAGCATTCTGGGGTTAAGTATCTTGCCCAAGGACTTGTTGACCACAGGGGCTAGAGATCGATCGGCCCCTCTGATTGGTAGACGCCCATTCACTCCATGAGCCCAAGCCGCCGTACTCATATAACTTAACATTTTACTACAGTTACTCGGCAAACCAACTCATTTGAACCCAAACCAGCTCTTTTCTGAACCAAATGAATGAGTTTTGTTTGAATTCTCCATCAGACTACAGTGCACGTCGAACGATAATTCTAAAGAGGTTCCCAGTGAAGGGTGTGTTCTGAGTGATGGCACACACCAACAGGATTCATTTGGAGTGTGTAGTGAATGTTGATGTCAAACTGATGAAAAAAGGGGCGGCAGGTTTGTTTTTCCCACTTCTTCTCTTCTGTTCCACTGCCAAACCTAAAGAGAACAGAAATAGGCGATGTGGAGCTCACAGCCTCGAGCTAACAAAGAGGAAGAAACCCTCAGCAGGTTACACTGTAAACACATTGTGACGCAGGGCTGAGCGGAGGCGATGGAGTAGAAAGATTAATTCTGAGGCCATTATTTGTCACTTCTGATTGTTTGTATCTTCCAGCAGTGACCCTGATCAGTCAGCAGAAGTCAGCAGGGGGGTCGTGTGTGTCCTTGCTTTACACCTTGAATGTCACGACAATGGTACCGCTGCTGGGATTTGGGGAAGCAATTAAAAATAAGAAGCTTATTTGTTGAACCAAAGTATCCCATTAACTGGTATTTAGCCTAAACGGGTCCTGTTTCAGCACAGGAGGAGGTGGCGAGCTAAATGAAATGTCCCGCAGTGAATTTCACGCCCCGTTGGGACGACAGAGGCGCCACAGATGGGAGTTTGGGTCCCACTGAGGAGCGCTTTTTGTCCTGCGTCTGTCAGCCTTTATTTGCAGGCACAGGCAGCTTTTACAGCAGAAGAAGAGGAATGTGATCGTCTTATTCAAACACCATCAAAAGCTGACTGGTGTAAGCTGCTGCTGCCTGTGAGACTGCCATGCGTTCATTTGGCTGAGGAGAAAAGTGTGTGTGCAGCTGCTGTGCTTCCTCCTGGCTTCAAAAGGAGCGACTGCAGTGTTACTAATGAAAGCCTCTTACAGGAACGTTATCAAAAAAGACGCTTTTACGTGCCAAAAGGGATGTCAGTGTAGGGACGGAGGGAATTCCCAGGTCACAATCAGACAAATCCAGAGTGTGGAGAATGTTATTGTACAAAATAAACACAATAACCGCTTTGTTGTGATTCCATATTCCGAAGAACAAAGATATTGAAAAGAGAAATGTTAATTGCTTTGTTAAGAATCTACAGCGTGCCTCAGAGAGCAGCAGTGCAGGGTGTGTGTATTATCAACAGTGTGCAGGTGGAGTTTGAATGTTATCCCAATTAGAGCTGCCCCACAAATCAAACACACAGGAAGCTGCAGATGGAAGATTTGTCATCACATCTAGTTTCCTGGGAACATCTATTTACAGAGCTCCTCCTTCGTGTCTGCCTCGGGTTTAAAATCAGCCTCACCTGTCATGCATAAGTCATATTTGCATTTAAGACGCAGCATGTTTCCCCCTCTTTTCAACCAAAGCATCCTCTCACTTGGGTTTCTCTCCAGCCCTATATTGTGTAATGCCGTCTAATGTAGCCAGCTGTGGATTACAGCTGCTAATCCATGAAAAGAGGAGCAGTCCAGATTCATTAGGTGGAATGGATAGGGTGTTGCTCC